TGTAATGTGTGTATGTAATGTAATGTGTAATGTAATGTGTGTATGTAATGTAATGTAATGTGTGTATGTAATGTAATGTAATGTGTGTATGTAATGTAATGTAATGTGTGTATGTAATGTAATGTAACTATCTATCTATCTATCTATGTATAGAGATTTCCTTTTTTGTTTTTCTACTGTCATATGGGTTAAAACATATGAATAGTGACGGAGATCTACATAGACGATTGGAGGTTGAAAATTTTCAGCTTGGCCCACTTAATTTTAGAATCCCTTAAGACAAACTTGTATCTAGATGAGAATGTGTGTAATATATACACACACACACACACACACATTCATTGCCATCTGTGTATTATCTATAATAATGCATATATAAAATAGTTGTGTGTGTGTGTTTACACAGACATACACTTTCTTCTTTATCATTTATAATAACGCACACACTTTACTTATATAATGTGTGTGTATATATATATATATATATATATATATATATATATATATATACACACACATGTGTGTGTGTGTGGAGGGGTGCAATCTTACATACAGAAATAGAACTAGACTCACATATATGTAAATATACGTACATATCGATTATATAAGTACATAAATACTTCCAAAATATTCCGACGCACAAGCAGCCCCCATATTTCGATGCGTCGTCTTCGTCTGGGTGGCTTTGTCTTGTAATAATAATCTGTTAGTTCGACAGACAACTCATTCGGAGATGATCGCAAAAAGATAACCGTTGTTGTTGGGCGTTATCAAAATAGCCAAGCTTTATGGCAGTTTACACATTTCTGGTTCGATTGTCAACCAGCTCCACTCCGGTCAGGCAGACAGAGTAACGATGGGATGAGACTTTTTCAACCGGCTGACCGCTCCGGTAGGTTTTCGTGTGTGTGTGTCCGACATATGGTCATGACACAGAAACGCGTTTACGGAATAAGGATGTCAGGGTTGAAAAGTGCAAAGATGACATGGAGCTAGGAACAATCAGCTACAGATAGATACCGAGATTTTGTGTGTGTGTGTTTGATATATATCATTCCACCCCAAGCAAGGCAATTAAAGCATTAGGACGCATGAGTTTGCTGGGTGTCAGTGAATATGATAAAAACTATTAAGGAGAGAGAATAATGATAATAATAATAATAATAATAAAAGAATTAACAAGACAGAAGGTAACGATTGGCATTGCAATTAAATCTTTGAAAGGAGTTCCACATGCGAGAAGTGTGATAGAAGAAACTGTTCGCATAGAACTTACGGTTAGATCTAATCATTTCAACTGTAAAATGAGACATTGTCGCTAATCTAGTAGTGCATTAAACTCAGTCTGGGTACCATCCTGAAAGGATGTATAGAAAAGGCACAGAGAAGCTATATTAAAGCAGTTGGAAAGTGACTGAAACCGAGATGCCAGGTCAGAACCAATAACATTGCAGATTCTTTTCTTCGTATTTTTGTCAAGAATCTCTAAATCCATAGCAAAAGCACCAGACTTGATGTGACAACAGTATTCAATGGAATGACTTATAAACGTGAGAGATTCTGACGAGAAAAAATTGTCTGGCTTGACATCGTGAACCATTTTTCCTAACCGACTTGGTAATTTATACAATATAATCTTCCCGCTTGAAAGGCCAAAATGTAAGCAAGAGTTGTAGATAATGCTCCACACTGAGTGTTGTGCCTGTATGTCGGAACCAAATATACTTTAGATATCGCTTTCTGGGTCTATCGCACACGAGAATGGCCACCACTTGCATGAAGGTAGAACTTGCTCTTATCAATAAATATCAGTCACCGTTCGTTTCCCTAAATGGCCATGTTTGGACATCACTAGAGAAGTACACAAAACAGTTATGGTGTAAATGGTAATCTGATTAATAGCAAACGAATAGACCCGTTTACAAAACGGGTAGGTGAAAATTGAAAAAGGTACTGAAATAATTCGTTTAAAGCAGATCTTTAGGATATGTATGAAAAACCAGGATTTAATAAAATATACCGTTTTTTAAATATTTTAATGACAGATCTTTAATGATATTTTTTAATGACATATTTTTAATGGTAAAATGACATATTTTAATGGATTTTTAATGACAAAATGGTATATTTTTTAATGACATTTTTAATGGTATATTTTTAATGACATATTTTTAATGGTATATTTTTAATGACATATTTTTAATGGTATATTTTTAATGACATATTTTTAATGGTATATTTTTAATGACATATTTTTAATGGTATATTTTTAATGACATATTTTTAATGGCTGTGCTTCGTGGTGTAATGGATTGAGAAATCGGAGAGGCGAGTTCGAATTCTAGTCGGGTTCGTTATTCAGCTACGCGCAAATACCCTTAGTAAAGTTATGAATCATCTCTTTTCTCCCAGCTATGGGGTGAATAGCAAAACATACTCGACGGCAATCAATACCACAGAAAATAATGGCAACCTACAGTGGGAAAACTTTCTACCTAGTTAGTTGTCATCAATCGAAAGAGACATTATCGTCCAAGTGGGTATCCCGTATAGCAATTAACTGACTGATGTGAAAAACCTAAGGATTTAACAAAATATATCGTCATTTTTGACGGCATTGGATCCCGTATTTCATAATATAATGATAATAAAAAACACTGTTGAGAGCCCTTGACTATTAAGGGGATTTGCTCTCAGTTGGTCTGCATTGAAAAAAAAAGTCACCAGTTTCTTCTATTTTGACCAGTGCATAATAATTATCACGTCTAGCGTGTCTCGTGGTTGTGAAAGTTGCGTATTCGAACCAAATAGTTGAAAAACTGTTTTCCGGTTTAAAAATTCCTTGGGTTGGAAAACTCGCGCAAAAATTGAAAAAAAATGAAAGTATGAATCCTTTCATACTTTCAATTACTAAATTGTACCATGCTGAGCTTAGTTAATATCATGTTTAGTACCCTAACCATCACTAGAATTAGAATAAAAATATCTACTCCATTTTTTCTTCTGTTTAATAAAAATAAAAACTTAATTCCTTTTATCAGTAATTCAACTATTAGAATATTCACTTTAATAAATGATTTAATTTATTTCCATTTCATTATGAATTATTATTATTAATTATAGACTGTCTTCATCTTATTGGCGTTTATCTGGACGTTCTAAGTCGAATACACTCCAAATGTTAGTCATCATCATTAGTCGCTGTTTCCGCCTGCAGCAGCAGACGAACTTACATAAAGTCTTTCCGGCTATTTTTTATGATCTCGGGCAAGTTTATTAAACGTCTGCCACAAAGTAGTTGGTGATCACAAAATGATATTATCCCTTCACCTCATTTTGGTTTCCCTTTGCTTCTTTTTCCAGACAATCTACCCTCAAAACTCAATTTAGGTAGGTGTACAGTAAATTTTTCAATATCTCCAAATAGTTTCAATGATTTACTCGGGGAAAATACCGAAACGCGAAGATAAAGTGGTTGTTTTTCACTTTGCCTACCAGCTTATGATCTGTGATGATTCGTATCATGTGGTTTGAGATTGTTTCAATTTGAGCTAAAAAGAATTTTGATTCTATGTCACGCAATCGAAATCAAATAAAACAACTGGCAAAATTTACTTTTTTTTGCATTTTTTTTTTTTTCATTTTGTTCCTTTTTATTTTGTTCCTTTTTTTTTCATTTCGTTCCTTTTTTTTTTTCCATTTCGTTCCTTTTTTTTTTTTTTTTTTTCATTTCCTTCCTATTTTTTTTTGGTTTGTATTTTGTGGGATGTTTCTTCAATTATTTGAATTTTAAGTTGTGCTTTGTCAGTGAAACAATCTTTTGGTTTAATTAAAGGTTTATTTATTTTGCCTCTTGAGTAAAACGGTTAACAAATATTTGGAATACATTTGGATAGCCTTTTATACCATCTGCACAGAATGGATTTCACCACACCTTGTTTAATACCCGTTTTAATTGAAACCAAGATCAATTATTATAGCAGCCCAAAACCATCATATACGTAATCCAGTTTCCTATCCTTTGTTGCTTAAAATAGTTTTTGTACCCCCCTTACTATCCTTCGCAGTCCCTGTACAGGCTCATTAGGGAGATTATTCGATGTATCCATCTACCCCTCTTATCTTTAATATATCCTGTGGGTGTCATATTCTCCAAGTTCTCTTTCCTATGTGGCTCAGAAGTAACCTTTCTCTTTCTATTTTCCTTCAAATTTCCTGTTTGATCACATGTTCATTCGCTTGTATTCTCAGCATCTTTCTGTAGAATCATGTTGTCTAAGCTTCATCTATAAGAAAATTGTTCAGTATTCACTGCCTTTATAGAAAGATTGCTATTACGTATCGCCTTACTACTCTTTGTTCCTAACGAATTTTTTTTGGTTCTTACTACTTTTATTTAAATTCTGTCAGGAAGCATTTTCATTAACATTTGCCGGGTTTGCGGCCGTATCGCGTTGAAACACTGGTACATATACGATCATCGTAGTTAAGCAACTTGGATCCTTAGATGGGTGGCTGCTTAGGAATAACATGTGCTGTAAGTTTGGATGATGATAATAGCTTGGAATTGGAAGTCTGAAAGCTGAGTTCCAATTCCAGTCGCGTTTGTTATATTCACTTACGTGCAAATACCTTTCGGAAAGGTATGAATCCGTCTTTCCCTCCATCTATGGGTTAATTAATAGGACTTGTATCAGTTAATCCTTATCTCCAGAAAATTTTAACAATATAAATAATCTGCAAAAACCACAGAAAACCAGTTAATCTTATCAGTTAGCTTTTCTCTTATTTTTCCTTTGTTAATCTTTATCATAATCTCTACGGCCGTTAAATTTAAGTAACATTAAATATACCTCAATAATTAAATATTTCATCTCAGAATTCAAATAATTTAAAACTATTAATGTGTAATAAAAATCAAAATATTTCATGAACATTTTAACTTATGGTATGACATTATGATTATAAATTTGTGTGCTGTTAAATCATCGGTTCTTGGCTTACGGCCACATCACATTGAAACACGGGTTCCCGTACTGTCACCGAAGTTAAGCAATGTCGATCTTGGCTAGTACCTATACGGGGGACCGTTTGCGAATACCAGGCGCTGTAAGCTCGGATTGTGTGTGTGGGGTAATGGATAATGGCTCGGAATTGTTAATCAGAGAGTTCCAATTCCAGTTGGGATAAGCCGTAGAAAAAAAATCAGTCTTATAAGCTTTTTTTCTTAGAGTGTTGATCTAAACCAAGTCGAATATTCTAGATCTATTAAATAGAAGTGACATGAAATATGCCTAAATAATGAAATATTCCATCTATGGGTGATCATGTCTATTTGCATTCTTTGCCGTTTCTTTCTGCGGTAGACTGGTTACCAACCAAGGCTATAGGACCTAATCTGTCCTACTATTCAACCCAAAGCTAGTGGGAGAAGAGATGGATTCATACCTTTCCCAAGGGTATTTGCACGTAATTGAATGTAACAAGCGTGACTGGAATTCGAACTCGGCTCTCCGATTTGCCATTTCGAGCCGATATCCATTACATCACATCTATTAATGTGTAATAAAATTAAAGAAAATATTTCATTAAAATTTGACATCGTTGTGTGCCAATATGACAAGATTTGAGCATTGTCTAATCCTCGGCTTTGATGCTTGAATTTAAGAAGTGAGCCATGAAAGACAAATTCCAAGGACCCCCCCCACACACACACACACACCGGGATGCAACTGCAACTCTCGTTATAAACTATTACGATTCTGATTTCGCTCTAATAGTCGGGGGATATTCGACTGAAAATAATTCGGCAAAAAGCAACAATAAAATAAAGATTAATCCGAAATGAACTGTCGGATCCAACACCATCTATCCAACAGCGAACACCTACATTAGCACGATGGTCAGCAAGTACGCACCCCCACTCCCTGACCAAGTCGCTAGTGTCGTGAGTTCACTCCTCAGTCGGTACCTCTTCATTTGTTACCTTGTGTCAAACATAAATAAGTAAGCTGCCATAATCTAATCAGGATATTATTGACGTTAGAACTGTATGTTTCTTATGTATATTTTAATTCGTATTCGACTCATATTCGCTTAAATCTGTGATTCCCGAACTTTTTTTCTTTGGGTCGCATTTTCGGAATAAAAATTTACTCGCGCATCACCCACATTTTTTGTAATATAAAGTACATTTAAAGTACATTTAAATTACATTTAAAAATTTTAAAAAATAAAGAGGGTAAAATGGAGATGAACGCGGATTCGAAGTCAGGATATTATCATTGATAACTCTCTCCTATAATTTGCGGACCCCAAATACTATATTCTTAATACTGAATATAAGGCAAAATTTTCACAATGATAAAACCGCTCAATAATTAGTTATAACTATTTAGCTCTGTCATTACAAGTAATCCATAATTAATATTTTAAATTTTGAAATCATATTTAGTTTTGGCATATGAATTTTTTGAAACTGTTTTTAAATCTTTGATTGTCTTTCAATCATTCCGCCTCACCCGCTATCCTCTTCCGCCTCACCCATCAGGCACTTCGCACTGGCTTAGACTGTCGCACAGCTATAGCAGTGAAGCACCCAGTGAGGAATGAATTTGATACTACTTGTATCGTCATTCATAGGAATTTTTTAAAAAATGATTTTTTATTTAATTTACACCTTCTCTATACCGTAACAATTAAATTATAAGGAATTAAGGATTTTTTCCTTATTGCTTTAAAGGTCATTTTGTTGATACACGTGTTTGAGTAGACGTCCTGTTTAATTTTTGCTTATTATAAACGGTGTGAATTACGTCTACTGGCCTGCTCATTACAAAGAATTAATAAAGAAAATGGGCTCTCTGGCAGGATTTGAGCCTGTGTCCCCGTTTGTAAGGGAAACCACAGTCTGATCCAGCGTGCTTTATCCCGTTCAGCCACAAAGAACATCACAGCCTAGTGAGGTTCCCGCCCTGTCGGCTGGGGCTTCACAATACGCCGACTCCACCTCTGCAGAGAGGTAAGACCCTCTCCCCAAATAAGGCGTCCTGGGTAAGACGATAATCTATATCCAACAGCAAGGCCTCTGATCAGGAAGCTTCGAGGAGCTTGGGTCCACCCTGACGTGGGGTGGTAGCACCTGTTTGTCCAAGATATGGTCAAATAGTTAACCCCGAAACTGGGTTCAAAACACTATGACAGTATAAAAATAGGTTTTAATACCAGCAATAAAAATCTTGTCGGCATTAAATAACACATTGAGGTTGATATGCCGTAAAACAAACCAAACCAGCGTGGTTCAACCTAGCAGGATCAGACTTGAAGGAAAAATATTGTTCAGTATTTCCTTATGGTTACCCACCATATACAGGAGGCGTTACATTTAACTGGGTTATCTTAACCAGGCGCAAAACCTCACACCTGGGGTGCCCAGTAAGGATCAAATTTACGATACGAACACGCGATCCATCTTAGGCATTGCTCTATGTCAAGCGCCTTACATTTGATGGAATCTTGTATTTGTACACGCGTCATAAGATACCAAACTGAGCTTCATGCAGAGCCTCGCCGAGGGAGACTCGAACTCGCTACAGCAGCATTAGTTTGCTCGAC